GAGGCCGCAGTTGAAGAAAATCCTCCGACGTACACCACAGCCAAGTTGGAAAAGAATAACACTTTTATCACCGTGAACGGACAGTGTGTGAAAGCCCTTGTTGACTCGGGTGCTGATTATTCTGTCATATCCGAACAGTTACGTCGACAGCTAAATGCTCCTATGTTTGCTGAGAATGGACCTGTATTGAAAACTGCCTGTGGTAAAAACTGTAGCTGCCTCGGGACGCTGTGTATTGAAAGTTGATTTGAATGGGACTAAGAAGCCGTTTGAATTCCTTGTGTTTCCTGAATGTAGTCATCAAATGATACTTGGATGGAACTTTTTTTTCCGTGCCACCGATGCCGTTATCGATTGTGGAAATCAAGAACTTACACTTGCAGAAATCCTTCCAAACATTGAATATTTAAATAAGTCACAGCTCTCCTTGTTTGCCACAACCGATTATGTAATTGAAGCAAACACCGCAAAGCGAATATGTGCCTTGAATTCAGAGCTACGGGAAGCAGATGAAGCTATGATTGTTGGAAATAGAGTTCTTATGTGCGAAAAAGGACTATCGATACCAGCCTCAATTGTCACTATAGAGGATGGTTGCGGTAAATTATGGGTAACTAATTGTTCTCGACGAACCCAACTGATACCGAAAGGGATGAATGTCGGCTATTTAACGACCATAAAAAAACGACGCTATTTGCTCCCTAAGTGATCAGGCTCCAGCAGGTTCCAAGGGACATAGGTCCAGGAAAAGGTTATCTCAAGAAAACTTAAAAGAGATTTTTGATACTGATTTGTCCAATGCTGAGGAAGACGAGCTATTGAGTCTACTAGATGAATTTAGTGACATTTTTGACTTTAACAGTATTGCGAAAAAATCCCGATGCAATTCGGTGAAGCACAAGATTGATACAAGTGACAGTGCACCAATCAAACAAAGGCCATACCGTGTGTCAGCCACTGAGAGGCGTGTGATTGCAGACGAAGTGCAACGAATGCTAAAAGAAGATGTGATACAACCATCAGATAGTCCATGGTCATCTCCAGTCGTGCTTGTGAAGAAGAAAAATGGTGAATGGCGTTTTTGTGTCGATTACAGAAAATTGAACAAGGTAACTAAAAAGGACGTCTATCCGTTACCTCGCATCGATGATGCTTTGGACTGCCTGGCTGGTGCAAAACTTTTCTCTATGATGGATCTGAAGTCAGGCTACTGGCAAATAGATGTTGATGATAAAGACAGAGAAAAGACAGCTTTTGTGACTCCAGATGGTCTCTATGAATTTAAAGTCATGCCGTTCGGATTATGCAATGCTCCAGCCACATTTGAACGGATGATGGACACGGTACTAAGAGGTCTCAAATGGAATATTTGTCTTTGCTACCTCGACGACATAATCGTGTACGCACCTAATTTCGAAGAACATCAAAAGCGTTTGAGGGAAATACTGAAATGTATCCAAAGAGCAGGACTGACGCTAAATTCCAAGAAATGTTCATTCGGCAAAAAGAAACTGACTATACTGGGACACTTAGTCGATCAACATGGGATATATCCCGATCCACAAAAGGTAGAGGCTGTAGCAAAGTTCCCTATTCCGAAAAATATCGCCGATGTCCGAAGTTTTCTGGGCTTGTGCTCCTACTACCGACGATTTTATCCAAAATTTCGCAGATATCGCAAAGCCCCTGCATGACTTGTTGAAGAAAGATGCAAAATTTTCTTGGAACGCGTTACAGATTGAATCTTTCGCAACGCTCAAAAGGCTGCTGACCAGTGGCACTGTTTTGGGACATTTTATTCCAGACGCAGAAACCAGGATACATTCTGACGCTAGCGGCTATGGTATCGGTGCAGTACTGGTTCAGATCCAGGATGGCAAAGAAAGACCAATAGCCTATGCATCCAGGTCCCTTACTGCAGCTGAAAGGAACTATTCCACCACCGAAAAAGAATGCCTTGCCGTCATCTGGGCAATTAGTAAATTCAGGCCATACCTCTACGGAAAACCCTTCACGGTAGTCACAGATCACCACTCTTTATGTTGGCTGGCCAATGTTAAGGATCCATCCGGAAGACTTGCACGGTGGGCTCTCAGGTTGCAGGAGTACGACATAAATATCGTCTACAAGAGCGGTCGGAAACACTCCGATGCAGATTCACTATCGAGGAAGCCTCTTATAGAACCAATAATTGAGAACAATGAAGACATCCCTTTCTTTGCAGCAATCGTAGATTACGGAAAAGAGCAGCAGAAGGACAAACGATTGAAATCCATCATTACAACTCTCAAGAGAGGTGACGCATATCAAAATTATCAAATAAAAAATGGTATACTGTACAAAAGAAGCTATGATCCTATGGGACAGCAGTGGCTCTTGGTGGTACCAAAGCAACTTCGTAGCGAGGTTCTAAGAAGTCTTCATGATGCTCCAACCGCTGGCCATCTCGGATTTGCCAAAACGTACGACCGAATAAGGAGGAAGTACCATTGGCCAGGGCTATATGGAAGCACACGGCGGTATGTATCCCACTGCCGAGAATGCCAAAGACGGAAACCACCGCCGCAACGTCCACCAGGACAACTTCATCCTATAAAACATCCTGACACACCGTTTACCAAAATTGGAATAAATCTACTTGGACGCTTTCCTGTTACTCGAAATGGGAACCGGTGGATTATAGTTTGCACAGATTACCTTAGCAGATTTACAGTCACAAAGGCAATACCGACAGCTGAGGGCACCGAAATTGCCAAGTTTATAGTTGAAGAAATTGTACTGAAGCATGGTGCCCCAAAGAAATGATAAGTGACTGAGGACGCAATTTCCTATCTAGTGTTGTTAAAGAAGTAATTCATCTATGCAAGACGTCTCATCTGCTGACGATTGCTTACCACCCTCAGACCAATGGCTTAACTGAAAGATTCAATAAAACATTGGCAGACATGTTGTCCATGTACGTTGATGTTGAACAGAAAAATTGGGATACTATTCTACCATTTGTAACCTATGCCTATAATTCAGCCAAACAAGACACAACGAGATTCAGCCCATTCTTTCTCATTTATGGCAGAGATATCCAGACTCCTCTCGACGTAATTTTCCCGAAGATAGTTATGCGCAACATCTGATCACTAGAGCTGAAGAAGCTAGACAGCTTGCAAAACTCCATATTCTTAAAGCGCAAACCACAGACAAGCGCCGATACGACGAGAGACATCGACCTGTCAGCTACAACATCGGAGACTTTGTCTGGGTCTTCACTCCAGTACGAAAGGTTGGGTTATTGAAAAGCTCCTAAGACGTTACTTTGGACCGTATCGAATAACACGACAGCTCTCTGACGTGACGTACGAAGTAGAAAGTATGGAACAAAATAAGAAACGACGGAATTCAGAAGACATCGTTCACGTGTTGAGGTTGAAGCCCTATCTTGATCCGAAAGTACAACTAGACGATGAAAGAAAGCCCAATATTTCCAGGAGACCTGTTACAAGAAGCCGGACCAGATCGCAGCGGGACACTGCTTCTTCCTAAGAAGGGGCAAATGTAGCGAAAATCGCTCTTTTCGACCGAGCTCCTCATAGCTTAGTGGAGAAGGCGCAGGACTCGAAACCCGAAATTTACCATCAGCAGTGCTCAATTTATTTGACTTCTAAGTAGGAAATATGTGAGCCTCGAACTGTGATGCAACAGCCATAATGCTATGACACGTTCATTAATAAAAAACTAAAAAGGTACTCGGACAGATTTTTGTATTCCATCTTTAGAGAATGGCTCAGGGCTTATTTTTCTGTAATGGACTGTGACCTGCAGGTTCTTGAGTTCTTGGATGGGATTGAGGTCTGAGGAACATGTAGACCAGTCAATTTCACAACTATTCTTGCTCTGATAGCTTTTCTAGTGCTGTGATTTAATAAGGTGCGACATTATCATCCATAAAAGAATTTTTTTTTCTCGTTTGCATCAGAGAATGAGAGAGTACTCATTTAACATTTTTACAATAGTCATGATGACATGGCCTAGCACCTGTAACTCTGCTTCCATCAGTTATGCTTTACCACTACATCACAACAATACCTTTCTTGTATGCTTTCCTGCTGGTACACCTTAAAGCTTTTGCGCCAGATGAGCTGACGTCTGGAATTCAGTTACAGATTGAATTGATTCTTATTGCAGAACAAGATATTAACTCATTGCTTTTCCATCCAATTTCGGTGGATCTTTACAACACCTTTTACGGTGTTCTCTGGTTAATGCCATGCATATGAGTGGTCATTCAACAATGTAACTGACACAATGATCCACAGCTTGGTGGGATATCCTTCTGTGCCACTAACAGGTGACTTCAAAATTGACTGGTTGTGTGCCATCAGCTGCATTCTGGTATTACCACTAAATATCAATCTTTTTCTAGAGTCATGGAGGAGGTTGAAGCCATTTGGTCTGTCAGCCTCTGTTAGACTTCATCCTAAGATGGGAAATTTTGGTATAATGGTCAGTGAGCAGCTGGAGCACATTGCAGTCATTTGCAATGCAGCTCCAAAGCCTGCCCAGACTTTTTTAAATTTAAAAACATTAACACATGGAATAATTAAAAGGATGTTGAAAGAACATGATTTTGCGGCCTTCTCTGAACATTCCTTTAAACCTTAGTTGTTTAAAATCATCCATATGATGTCTTTAAGGTATGAGAAAAATTTCTCATAATTTTGTAAATTTATTCTTTGATGTTCAGGATTTCTATGTTTATAAGTAATGCTAATTTCTTTTTGACATGCTTTTGAGTTGGCATGAATCCTCGCAATGGAAGAATCAGAAATGTGCATATTCACTGGCTTTCTGTTGCACATATTTTAACTTATTCAAAATCAGTAGAAGTTAATTCATCAAATTCTGCAGCTTCTTAAAGTTTTGAATGCATGTTCATGTGTATTGTTGTAGAATGTCTGACAAGAAGTTGTTAAGTAAGTGCAGTATTATATTCTTTTAATATATAGATGTTGATTTGGATGCAAGGTTTCTCAGATCATCTCCACGAGATGGTTTTAGAGCAGCTGTTGCAGCCTGTCACTATACAGATGAATCAGTGCTTTCAGAACTTGGAACAACTGTTTCAGAAGTTGCTGTTCAGCCACGCTTTGCTGGAGGGGCCATAACTTCTTTTAGTGCAGATTTAGCATCAAATTTGAGAAACTCGCCTCATTTTTCTCCAATGTCTCCTGGGTTCTCCAATACTGTGTTATCCTTTGGTTCTTGTGAGTAATACATTTTTTCGTAAACTTCATTTTCAATAATTAGACTTTAACACTGTTTTGAATTATGAAATTTGTTTTCAGTCATGTAAAGAATGTAACAGAATTCAGGTTATGAACTTTAAGCGATACTAGAACATGGCAAAAATAAAAATGTTTATAATAAAATGTATGATAGAATGTGAAATGTGTTAGCTTCCTTTTGCAGTTAAATTAATCACTCATAAGACGATTTTAAAACACAAACAAACATTTATTTAAAGATAAATTGTACTCTTTACTTAATAACCTACACGTAACGTATTCGTAAACGTACATAACATACGTTCTTACTGCATCCTACCAATATACGCTTCAAGCGTACTTCATCTGAATAAAAAATAAATAGAATGACATCCAGAAATTAGCTGTTGCCATTTATCAGTAGATATTCTCTCTAATAACAATGAATAATTTACAATTGTGCTTACAAATGTAAGCAGAGAAATACAATAATACGAAGAATATGGAGAGTGAAAAGTTGTTTTATTCGTTGATATTTACAAAAAATTACACTTTATATTTAGAATTATTCAAATGAATGACAACAAATTGCAATATATGCTTTGTAACAATAATGAGGTGATTGGCATATACTTTGGAAGATGTATGGCATGTCATGTACATTTGCAACATTGCTGCCGATTCTAGCAATAAGGTCTTGAGAAAAATATGTGTATCGTAAATGAGATCCTCATCTTTGTTGTGATGCATGTATTGCAGCTGTTGGACATTTGTTTGAACAGTTCTTGTAAGTATCAAACATTATTTCTTGTAAATATCTTTCATTAAAATGACTTTTTGTTTTCCATATTTTGTATACTTTGCTGTGTTTATGCTTTCATGTTTGGCTAGAAATTATTTTACAAAAATTGTTTTTTTTTTTGCCATGTTTTATCACTCCTTAAAATTGAGACCATTATTTTTGTTATGTCCTGTGTTTCAATTTCACTAAACATAAAATTTATAAAAAAAAAGAAAAACTTTGCATTGCTGTTATATTTTTTAATCATCTTTTAGCTGCTATGCCTTCTACTTTTGGTGCAAATGCAAAGCCTCTTCTTAGAAAAAGTGTTTTCACAGCTAAGCAGACTTCTTCAGAGGGGTTTTCTGGTCTTTTTGGTGAGTTACATTTTCAATGCTTAGTTTTTTCATGTTTTTTAAAATAACTGTTATAGTAGAACCCCATAAGGAATTTCTCAAGGATCGGAGGATTAGGAATTTCTTAAATAAGAAGACTTACTTAAATGGAAACCTGTTAAAAGAAATTGGGTAGTAACTGGTATATTTAACATAAAGTAAATTCGTGTCATTATCCTCAGCTATATTAATGAAATGTGTATAAAAAGAATTTGATAAAAATCAGCAGAGTTGCCAACTCTCCCGATTTAAGCGGGAGACTCCTGCTTTTCGACCGCTCTCCTGCCAACCCGATTTACGATATATTTCTCCCGACATTTTCTTATTCTTAAAATTTCTCACGACTTTTATGCAACTTTGCTTAATACTTTGTTATATGAATAAAAACAAAGTGCTTTTGTATGTCTGAAAGCAATTGAATTATTCTACGTTTTATCTAAAACAAAACCTTGCTAATCAGATAGCTTCTGCTTTGTGAGTGAGAGCATTATACGTATCCAGAAACGTCGTTCTCCAGTTCTCCAATGGGCTTCGAGCTCCACTGCGTGTCAGCTGGCATATATTAGCCAATGAGGACTAAGTAAGTTGTTATTTGGACGTGCTTTAGTTATTTCTTTCATTTTGTCCAGAGTTGTGCGAGTACATGTGCCTTAGGGAAATAGTTTTAGAAATTATCATCTTTTGCTACGTCTGCGAGAAAGTGAAATACTCGTGTACGTTTCAAAAATCGTACACAGTTGACTTTCATTCCATTATTTCCTCAAAGAAATGTAATAAATTTGCGATGTGTACCGCCCGTCGTTGCGATTTTTCGATTTCGCATGGTGGAAGGGCGGATGTTCTCAAACATGTACGTACGCAAAAACACAAGGATAACATGAGTTGTTTTTAAAAAAACGGAAATTAAATTTTCTTGGGAAACAAAGGACCAAAAAGTTATTAATGCAGAATGTTTGTTCTCTGCCTTTTTACTGGAGCACATCCTGCCACTGAATGCATCGGATCACGCTGCAGCTTTATTTAGAAAAATGTTTCCCGATAGTGAAATCGCTCTAAAAATAAAGGCAAGAAAGAATCAAAACAGGATCAATTGTTAAAGAAATGGGTTTGAAAAATAAATCTTCAGTTATTGATAGCATTAAAACAGCTCCTTTCTGCCTCTCTACGGATGGAAGTAATAATACCGATTCAAAACTGTATCCAATTATTTCTTTTTCTGATCCAGAGTCTTCAGAAATTGAGTGCAGTTTACTTTATGTTCCTACTTTAGAAGGACATTTGACAGGCTTTAATATAGCACAGCTAATTATTAAAACTTTAAAAGAAAATGCAGGCCCTCTGGATAATTGCTTAGCACTGGTGCCGATAATGCACCAGTATTGGTAGGCTTGGAAGACTGGTGTTGCAGGCATCTTAAGAAAAGAAAAATTCAGATTATGAGGTGCACTTGTCACCTCTTAAATTTAGCAGCTGAAAAAGGGGCAGCTTCTTTACCCATAAATGTGGATGAACGCATCGTTGATATTTATTATTATCTTGAAAGGGGTTCTAAAAGGAAGGAAAAATTGAAACAATTCATCCAAGTCTTCATTCAAGTTTTCTAATTGTAACAGCTGCATAACAGCAGTTTACAATTAGAAAACTTGGATGAAGTTATAAAATCAGCTAGGATTGACACCCAATGGAGTTTAATTGGAAAAGTGAAAGGTGCTGATGGAACTGTAAAATATAGTGAACTGTCTAGAATTGTGTTACCATCTTGACAGTTTCCTATAGTAATGCAGAGTGTGAGAGGATTCTCAGTGTTACGAAAACGAGGACTAAATTTAGATCTAATATTAGTGATGACACATTCGAAAAACTTTTATTAGCGAAAACAGGCCTACGTGGTAATTGCTGTGAACAAAATTATGAAGTTTCTTTCTTAAAGAAAGCAAAATCTGCCACTGTTTATAACATTTGTACGAAAACTAAAGTGTCTTTTTTTTTCCTTAAACGATGCAAGTAATAAAAATGTTTATGTGTAAGGTATTTTTTTGTTGCTTGCATTTAAGAATTAGTTACTATTTAAAGTTAATTCATTATTAAAAACTATATTTTTATCATTTAAAAAGTCTTTTTAACATTGTGAAAAATTTCCTGATTTCTTAAAAAAATCTCCTGATTTTTGAGTGTCATAGGTTGGCAAGTATGAATCAGACTTTTAGTTTCACAGAACACGATTCAGCATTAGTTTCACAGTTCACAATTCGATATCTTTCTTGCTTTTGAGAGCATTTCCAAGAAGATTTTCGTTAAATAATCAACATGTGGATAAGGTATCCTCATTTCATTCCACGTTCATTGTAAAAGGTGCTACATTACCGCAGTCCCCTTATTCACACTGTGACCTATGTTGATCCTTCTCACAGTCTTGTCCAATAAGTTGCATTCATATTGGCATGATTTCGTCATCCACATTAATAAAATCTTTAAAGTTCCCATTGAAATAAAACGACTGTGAGTTAACTCATTTATGCCACCCACAGCTAGCTCTCTTCTGCAAACAAGCTAAAAAAAATATTTGGATGTCCTGTGTTAGAAGCAATAGATAGCTATCAAAAACATTTATTTTTTACTTTGGAGATATTACATGATGAGATGTATATGCCATATTTCATTAAAATCTGCCCAAATGGTATAGTGGTTAGGAAGCCGATTACAATACCGAGAAGGGCCTGGGTTCAAATGCCGGAGAAGGCATGGTTGTAACTGTCCATTCCTTCATGGGAGGTAATGGTGGCTGCCTATTAGGTGCCTCCACAATAAAATGGATACCACTTCTGGCCTTGGGAGTGGCTCTGCCCTTTGATTAAAAAAATCATTAAAAAGCTAGAGAAATTATGTTAATACTGGTCATATTAATATATGTCACACCAAGCTACGAAAGATTAATAAAAATGCAGATGCAAATGGCCTAAGTTTATGTGTATTTGTGTATCCATATCTCTCTCTCTATATATATGTATATAAATAGGTAGATCTTTGATAGATTAGGATGTGTGGGAGAGAAGACATTAATTATATTTTGGTCATGCTAAGATGGTTGTAGATGTTGCTGGCATGCAGAAAGGATGCACAATAGTGGATGAAATATGGAGACCAAAAATATGCTCTAGAATCACCACATAATTTTATTTCTTGATGTATAATTCTAAGGACACATATTCCCTTTCACACATCACTGTGGGTTTGGTTTTATTTAATTATGGTAAAGCACTTGAGGACCATCTACCTAAAGGAAGGATGCTTTTGTGGAGTACTTTCGAAGAGAAAGTGGCTCATATGCATGTTATATATGGGGAAAACCACGAAAACGCTCTGCAGCCAGCCTATTCACCAGGATTTGAACCCAGTATTGTACGACCAATGTTCAGTGACTTTACCATTTAACTGCTTATATGCCATCACCATGGGTGCAACAAGCACCCCCATAATTTTATATATCTGATCACATCTTGAGACAGTAGATAAAAGGGAGAGCAGAAGGACATGTGCATGCAGAAGGAAATAGAGAAAAAAGTGATTGTGCATTTCAGCAAAGGGGTTATTTATGGAGTTGAATTCTGTGTTTAAATTTTGAATGGTGATTGGACAAGGACTAACTGCATTAGAGGATTAACAAGATGACACAATGCAGGCTGGTTTTCCGATATGACACACATTAGATTCCAAGAAGGGGACACAGCCAAATTAAAATGACGAAGTAGAAGGATTATTGCTAAATTTAAGTTAGTAGTTTTCTTTCTTATTTTATATTGTTTATATTTTCAAAGGGGAAACAGCTTGATGATAGAAAAGTCTTTTTATAAAACACATTAGAACATTAACATTAGGATGCATTTTGTGCAATATATTCAATGTGGGCTTTTTTAATGGGAAAAGAAAATATTTTCTTCAAGGATTAGCCTGTAGGTTTCAGTCTGCCCATTCATTCTGTTCACGAATTTTCTCATATCTGAACATACAAAAATGACACAGAAAAATGTACTTTAGAAGTATTGTGGGAAATATGTTGTATAATATCTGAACTAAATGTAGATTATGAGTTTTTTAAAGTTTATAACTTCATTTTCTGTAAAAAAATAAGCTTTTAAATTTCTTGGAATGTTTTCTTGAAATACTGTAAAAATTCACAGTACTTGAAAATCTTCGCTTGAGTGTTATAATGCTAATTTTTACATTTCAAAACTGTTAATCATGTATTTCTATTAAAATTGACTTACATTTTCTTAATTACTCATTATAAAACAATGCACTTATTCTTATTGCAAAGCAGTGTCAAATAAACTTTACGTATTAATAAGCGTAGAAAAGTAAGAGAATACATGGCAATAATAAAATAAACTTTGATGAAAAAGAAGCAGATCCTCTACAAATGAATCAGCACAACTACTTACTTATGGCTGTGGGATGCTTAAATACAACAGCAAGTCAAAAATCTGTGTTCCTTACACAAGTTAACTGTCTGCTAGCATTATATTAATATGTCAAATATTCTATTTAGGATTTATAGCCATAAAAGTTTTCAAATATTTTACAATTGAAATAGAAACTTGAATAAATTCAAATTAAGATGAAGACCTGATATTCTTAAGGTAGGTGTTACAAATTTTGTAATAAAATTTTACATTACTCTGCAATGATAATATATAAAAAAGTTGTGTGTCATTTGTGTGGGGGGGAAGGTAGCACTTTGTTCAAAATTTATGGCTAAAGGAATGTGACCAGTGAAATGCTCAGGCAGTCATAGCGATAGCTGACTTGTAAAAAAATTAATTTCAATATTAGGAGTATACATAGAGGGACAACGCGCATGTAGTGTCACTGCTTGCATTCTCTATGGAGAGGATAGAAGGAGTAATTGTGCAAGAGGCAGATAGCCAAGATGCAAGGAGTGGCCAGGTTGAAAACATTGTTTAGAGTTTTCCCTGTTCTAATCT